TCACTCGCGCTCATCTCCCTTCCCAGGCTCGTGTGGAAATCCTGCACCGGGGGCAGCTGTGTGAAATGGGTGGCTGGGACGCAGCTCCCTGTATTGCAAATAAATCCCTTCAAATTCTTTCTTTCTTAGTATGTCCAAAATACTGAAGTGTGCTGGCAATGAAGACATAATCACGCTCAGAGCAGAGGACAATGCTGATACGCTGGCCGCTCATCTCCCTTCCCAGGCTCGTGTGGAAATCCTGCACCGGGGGCAGCTGTGTGAAATGGGTGGCTGGGACGCAGCTCCCTGTATTGCAAATAAATCCCTTCAAATTCTTTCTTTCTTAGTATGTCCAAAATACTGAAGTGTGCTGGCAATGAAGACATAATCACGCTCAGAGCAGAGGACAATGCTGATACGCTGGCTCTGGTATTTGAGGCACCAAGTAAATATCTCAAACCCATTCTTTTTTATTAACATATTAATGCTACTGTAATTCACTTGAGATGGGAATGCCTGACAATTTCCCTTCATGTTTCTCTCCTTGTCCAGATCTATTCTGCTCCCAATAATTTTCTGTTCATTGAACTTTTTGAAACTTGCCTCTTTTAGAGAGCGATAAGGGATTGACTCTGTGCTCACAGACTTGCAGAGGGACAATAGGGCTGCGGTCTGTTTTGTTTCATTTCTATATACTATTTATTTAAAAACATTCTTGCTGTGAACAAGTATGCTATCTCTGGAGATAAAGCCACAGTTTGAGAATTGCAAAACTAAGCATCTGTGATGGTATCTTCTAGACCAGGGATGGCCCATCATTTTTTATACAGGATTCATTCTAAGATTTTGGAAAGTGGTTGAGGGCTGCACTCTTCCATGGAGGAGGTGTGAGGTCTGGAATGGAGGTTGGGTGCAGAAGGGAGAATGCAGTCTGGGAGGGAGTTATGACCTAGGGAAGGAACTGGGGTATAGGATTTGGGGATATGACCTCATTGATTGTATGTTATCTTGCACTGGATGCTATCTTGCATTTAAGCTGTGACTTATAGACAGAGTGGCCACCAGGGCACCTGTGCTTTTTCCTCTTCTTTTGAAAACTGCCTCTTCCCTGTCTGTACACGCCTTTTTCTGGAGAGCTCGTTCAGAAAAAAGGCTTCTTGTGGAAAGAGGCTTTACCAATGTTGGAAAAACCCCTCCTGATCTCTTTTGAAAACACAATTGGTGTGTGGGTGCAAGTGAAGTTGGTTTTTTTTAAACTGCTGTTTTTCCGAAAAGACTATAGTGTAGACATAGCCTGGGAGAAGGGGGTATGGATGTATGTGGGATAGGTTCTGGCCAGGAGACTTACCAGTTAGCAGCCAAACAAGCCAGCCATGTGCCTGAGCGAGCAAGCAGGAAGGTAGCTGCCTGTTGTTCAAACAAGCAACTCCCGCTGGCCAGTTTCTCTCTAGAAACTGGCAAATAAGATTGTGCTGGGGGTGGGAGCAGCCTCTGAATCTTCCCTCCAGATGCAAAGAGGAAACACCCCACAGCTGTGTTTTCTGAGCAGCAAGCAAGAGAGCCTGCTTGGGGCTCCCCACCACCTCCATGGGCCAGATCTGGTGGCTTGGCGGGTTGTATTTTGCCCAGGCCTGTTCTAGACTGATCACTGAGTCCTATTGGGTAGATAGGAAGATAACCTAAAATCTATGCATACGTCTCTGGAACACCCTTAGATTGGGTCCCTAATTCAGGAACTATTGGAACTCATTTACAAAACTTTTCTTAACCATTACATTTATATATTCTCATACTATAATATTAAAATGTATAATCATTATTCCATGATGAGATCTTTGAGCTATAATGTATCTTAATTACAACTATCTCTAGATGGGTCTGTTCTTCAAAGCATTTTATCAAAGAAATTTGGTTTCAATCAGTAGATCAGGATCTATGGATAGATCTTGGAGCCTCTAACAGGTAATCCTGACTGGTTTGGCCAGGAAGCTATCAAGTACTGGCACTTTAGTTGCCCCTCCACCCACTGTCACACTGCTCCTGCCCTCTGTCTTGGAGCTGCCTGCCCCTTTGGAGCCTCCTGCGTGCTGTGCAGGGCATTGGAGGGAGAAGGGGGCACTGATGTCAGGGTGTCCCTCCTCCCCCCCCACTTCTGTACCCTATCTTCGCACAGAAGGGAATGGAGAGTTTAGCAATGCAAATCTGTCAGTGTTCACATGCTGAGTGTCTGACATGCTCACAAACATGCTGTATCCCTCACTCCCATATCCTGACCCAGCACATGTGGAGAGTGGTTGTTACTACTTTTACAGCTTGCAAAGTGTGTTTTTTGACTGGTCTGTGCAATTCATAATTTTCATTTCTCTTATGCTTGTATTTAATTCTTTGAGTAGTGAGTCCCCTAACCGGTCACAACTCGATTAATTATTCCTATGGAAATTGCTGCTCCTGGAAGTGACTGGCATGTACATGCAGCCTGAGGGGCAGAGCAGGGGGTCCCCACATGCTGGCCTTTCTTGCAGACTCCACGCCTGCAGCTCCCATTGGTCAGCAATGGGGAACTGTGGCCGGTAGAAGCTGTGGGCTCAGCTGCCGCAGGGCAGCACATGGAGCCATTGCTGTACATGCCACTGCTTTCAGGAGTAGTGCAAGGCCAGGGCAGGAGTCAGCCTGCCCACTGCTCCACTACCCACAAGCCATCTCAGTTCAACAGTGCCCAGCCAGAGCTTGCTTCCTGACCCCCTGTCCCAGCCCTGAACCTCCTTCTACATCCAATCTCCTGCCCAGATGTGAGTCCCCCTAAAGCACCTCCTGGACACCAATCCCCCCACTCTGGGCTAAGCCAGACTTTTCCCTTCCCACACTCCAGACTCCTTGGCCCAAGACCAATCCCCTAACCTAGCCTGATGAAAGTGAATGAGGCTTGGAGAAGAAGGGGGATGAAGTGAGCAGGGAGAGGCCATGGAGAAGAGGTGCAGCAGAGGTGGGGCCTCAAAGAAGGGGCAGGAATAAAGTAGGGCCAGGGTGTTTGGGTTTGAGGTCAATCTTACATTGCACTTAACCACAAGATCACATTTTCAATTTAAAAAGGTTGGAGACCACTGGTTTAAATAAATCCTGGATTTTATCCGTCCTTGTGTTAAATTATACTAATGACATCTTGTAATTCTGCATTTCAGAATAGCTTTGATTTGCTGTTCCAGAATTAAAATATATGCATATCTTTGAATTATTAGTCACTATTTAACCTTATTTAGCTTTAGATTTTGAGGTGATTGTAGTGGATATTTCTGTCATTTGGGATTGTCACAATGGCACCAAAGGGAGGAACTAATAAGCATTTAACTTTTTATCAAATTAAGGCTATTCTTTGAACCTTCTGGGGCAAAAATCTGAAAATCTTAACTTTATTAATGTTTCAGAACACCTCTGGTCAAATATCTTGTCTGTCTGTTCTTAGATCAAGAGAAGGTTTCTGATTATGAGATGAAGTTGATGGATTTGGATGTGGAACAGCTTGGAATTCCTGTAAGTAATTGTCCTCTATTGACCTAGGTTAGATGACTGGGTCTTAAAAGTAAGTCTACAACTTGATTGTTAAATGTTTTGTGGCTACCCTTATTAGGAAATATAATCTACCTAAACTTTATTTCTAGGCAAACTTTGTTTCCAAGAAAGATCTCACAATGTCAGTGGAAGCATTAGGCTTGCTTCTGCATTTAGTAATTTTGGCTTAAATCTGCAATATGATACACTAGCTAATATGGTCTCTTGCTGGATAGACTCAAGTAGAATCCACCTGCTAATATTGCAGAGCCAAGATAAAAAGCTGCTTGAAAATTAGCTAATAAAACTGAAAATGCTAGAAGTGGGTCTTGATAACAAGGTACTGTTTTTATTCAGGTTAGAACTGCACTTGAGAATATTGAAGTGGATAAAATAGAATTTCATTCTCAGAAGGAATGTAAACTTTAGATATAGGTTCCAGCAGTTCCTTTCGTACTCACTTATTAAAGTTTCCTTCTCACAGGAACAAGAATACAGCTGTGTAGTAAAAATGCCTTCTGGTGAATTTGCACGAATCTGCAGAGATCTCAGCCATATTGGAGATGCTGTTGTCATTTCTTGTGCAAAAGATGGTGTAAAGTTTTCTGCTAATGGAGAGCTAGGAAATGGAAACATCAAGCTATCACAGACCAGTAATGTGGATAAGGAGGAGGAAGCTGTAAGTTTGATCTGACAATATTCCAAAATAAGGGGAATCTAGTCTCTCTTGTGGTAGTTGAGTCAACTCTGCCAATATTTCATAAAGTTGCTTCAAGTCAGCCCTGCCTAGCTAGGGTTAGAAAACTGACCAGAAATGTAGGATCTTTCCTAGTTAATACATAGGTAACAGGTAAATGAGAAGTGGACAGGGGAAATGCTACTAGTGTTTTGGCTGGCATCTGATCTCTTGTGGTAGAACTGTGGTCACCAGCCTGTCAATTGCAATGCTCAGGACTTGTCTATACTTACTAAGGATGTTAAGAGGTAATCCTATAGTCAGTACAACTGTATTGACTACATCCATGATTAGTCGATAAGGGAAGGTGCTACTCCAGTGTCACAGCAGGGGTAGCTCCTGGACCCAGTGCGAGCTGGGCTTGCTCAATCCCAGCTTGCACCTGGTCCAGCAGGGAGATGGGACCCCCGTTGTGGACAGGGGCTGCTTCACCATAGGAGGAGGAGAGAAGAGTCCCAGCTATTGGAGCAGCCCCTTGCACAGCTGCCTCTCAGGTTCCATAGAAGTGGTGCTGGGGGCAATTGGCTTTTAAGCCTGCTCTCCCAGCATTGGCTCCTGCTTCCCCTCCCTCCTTGCTGCCTCTGATATGAAGATAAGGAAGGAAGTAGCCAACTACCAGATAAGCCTAGGCTTACCAACTACTCTGCAGTGCTCCTGATAACTATCAGGGATTGAAAAGTAGAGATTGATTCCCCAGGGGTCCATTTAGCTGGTCTAGTAAAGACCTGCTAAATCTACCACTGACCACACTTCTGACTCCAGATCAAGAAGTATGTAAGGGGAGATACTGTGGTAACTTGATCTAAGGCAGTTCTGTGTTGCCCTGGTCCCCAGTACTGTCCAAGCAGCTACTATTGCCTGGGGATTAGCCACTGGGGGCAGCACTTGCAGGCAGCAGTGTGGCACATGAAGACCTCCTCCCTCCAGGGTCACAGCACATAGATGTGCCTGCACTGACAGCCAGTTGGTTCCAGGGATGCAAGCTCTGGGTGGGAGTTCTAGGTGTAAGAAAAGGCTCTGGGATGGGGTAAACTTGCACTCCTCACTCCTGTACCCCAACGCTTCCAGATGAGAGCAAGTATGAATGGGAGCTGAGGGGCAAAGTTTGGAGACAACTGTAGAAAATGCTGTCATGAGGGCTGCAACTAATAGTGAATGAGTGCCCTTGCTTGTGCTTTGCTACGCTTATGCACAATTAAAACACAAAGGACTCAGTCCAAGAAAGTCAGTACTGAAACATGGATACTTGCATAGCTCTACTTATCACTGTCCCTGCTTTGAAGAGCATTTTAGTCTTAATTAATTATTTGATTACATTTTTTTCCTATTAGGTTACAATAGAGATGAATGAGCCAGTGCAGCTCACTTTTGCTTTGAGGTATTTGAATTTTTTTACCAAAGCCACACCACTGTCACCTACAGTTACACTTAGTATGTCTGCAGATGTTCCACTGGGTAAGTAATGCTGCCTGGTTTTTTCCAAGCAACTTTGTCATTACAACGCATCTTAAGTGATTTAAAGTATAAACTGTTTGGAAGTGTTCTGAATAACTGGTTTGTGGGTTTTCTCCTCCCTCAGTTGTGGAGTACAAGATTGCTGATATGGGACACTTAAAATACTATCTTGCCCCCAAGATTGAGGATCAACAGGATGGTTCTTAAAGAGCACTAGAATCAAGGGAAAATCCACTGAAAGCTGTTGGAATTGAAACTCTTCTAAGAAAGCCAGTGTGCAAGTTAGCAGTCTGAAGCATTGAATCAACGCTGTTAGGCATATTTGTAGATATTTCTTTGTAAATATTTTTCAACTTTGTAATATTTGTATCTCTGCTATTCTAGATCATTTGTCTATTACATTCTTTTTTAGATGCTGTTTTTAGAACCTAAGCTTTTTTATTCCCTTTGGAAGTTGCAAGTGGTAAGAGTACAATACTGAAACATAGATATGCAAACTGTAGTGTCTTGAGGGCTGGGCTCTACCTGTGAAACTTCAGTTCACTGAGGCTGACTAATGTAAAGAATTCATTCAGCTTTTACAATTGCCTTATTTTGAAAATGGAAGCTATAATATAATTGAAATGTGAAAGTGGTAATAAAGAACATTACTCAAATGTTAGCCTGAAGAACTATGCATGAACTGAATAGACCTCAGTCCTGACAGTTGCTATTTTGGTTAAATTAAAGGATGTCTAAGCTCCTTTTGGGATACACAACATTTCATGTAGTCAAATATAAAATACCAAAGTTAAGCTTTTATGTGACTAACCTCTACTTAGCAGCTTCTTGATGCAGTGACATGCCTGATAATGGCAGTCATATTACAGTAAGACCGAGCTTATTGGTTACTGTTAATGGTTACATGCAGACCTGAATATCAGGGTGGCAGCTGACTATCAGCTCCAGCAGGGCAGGGCTGGCAGTGTTTGAAACTAAATGTGCCTTATTTGATGGCTATCTAGCAGAAAGATCAGACAAGGGACTAAGTGGATGTCCTGTAAACAACTTGCATTTTGAGACTTGCTTTCAGAGCAGGTTGTTTGATGGGGAAGATCCAGGGTAGGGAACAACTGACAATGGTGGTTCTTCCTTGGAACATAGGTAGCAGTGTGATCTTGACCCTGCAAACCCCACTGTAACAGTTGTAGATACTGTTCGGATAAGGCAGGGAGGGGGAACCTTTTGGTCTGGGGTCTACTGACCCACAGAAAAATCATGCAAAGGCAAAAACCCCATTCAGTGAGGTGGCTCCTGACTGGGGAGAGATTCTCACACATCAGAGCCCAGTGAGTCACAGGCAAGTCAACTTTGTGTGCTCTAGCCTGACAGTAGGGGAGCTGGAGCACCATTGTGGACTCCCCAGTGCTGGGAGGGGGAGAAGCTCCCAGTCTTGGGGCCAGGCCTAGGCATGCTGGCATCTGCATGCTTCTCCCCTTCTCCCCCCCAGCCTTTGGTTTCTCACCCCTGGTTTAAGGCAACTACACATAGAAACAAAACCACTTGACAAGATTCACAACATCAGCTTTATGGTAGCTCGTCTAAATTTCCATGACATTCTACTAGGCTTGGCTGCCAGTTCAAATTTGTATATAAAACAAATCCAGCAATTGAATTTTCATACTGATAATAGAATGTCCCTTTAACAAAAGCCATAATGCTATTAGCTTACTGGGTTTTCAGATGTCTAATATCCAGCTTGTTCTAAGGGTATACACAGTTTCAATACAAAACTGGATCAAAAGTTGGAAGAATTGACCCCTTTCTATGGATGTCAGTTTCCCCAAGTGTATGACAGAATTTGTACATGGCACAGTAGAATAATAATGACCCAGTACTGTAAATACTACCATTGGAGACATTTGGAAAGAACATGTGTATGGAACAGGGTAATGTATTTCTTAGACTGCTCTATTACCCCTCAAACATAATGTGGGTTTTTTTTTTTTAAATCTGAGGTAGCCAGTGTTCCAAACCCATTCAGGTACCAAAAAGTTGCTTAAAACATGTAGGCTAGGTCTAGACTGGCATTTTCCGCAAATGCTTTTAACAAAAGTTTTCTGTTAAAAGCATTTGTGGAAAAGAGCGTCTAGATTGGCACGGATGCTTTTCCACAAAAGCACTTTTTGCAGAAAAGTGTCCATTCTAGATGTGCTTTTCTGCAAAAAAGCCCCGATCGCCATTTTTGCAATTGGGGCTTTTTTGTGGGAAACAAATCTGAGCTGTCTACACTGGCCCTTTTGCACAAAAGGGACTTTTGCCTGAACGGGAGCAGCATAGTATTTCCTCAAAAAGCACTGATTTCTTACAGTAGGAAGTCAGTGCTTTTGCGGAAATTCAAGCAGCCAGTGTAGACAGCTGGCAAGTTTTTCCGGAAAAGCGGCTGATTTTCCAGAAAAACTGGCCAGGCTAGACACAGCCTCTCCATTCTAAAATGACTGACTAGAATGATGTAGCAGGAGTGAGTCACAAGGTGGCAGCAGCATGCTAAAACCAACACTGCTACCTTAAACTGCAAGTGGTTTGAAACTTATTTCTGCAGAAAGCCCCATATACAGGCAGTCCCCGGGTTACGTACAAGATAGGGACTGTAGGTTTGTTCTTAAGTTGAATTTGTATGTAAGTCGGAACTGGTACATATTGTAGGGGAAACTCTAGCCAAACATTTCTCCAGAGCTCAGTCTTATTCTTCCACACCTCACTTCCCTCAGTCTTTTATTCTCAAGCTGAGGTGTCTACTGAGAAAAGCCGCTCCGCGTCTCCCTGGTCTGCTGAGGGTGGGTGCTAGCTTTGCGTCTCCCTGGTCTGCTGGGGGGAAGCAGCTAGTGCAGGGTTGCCTCACCCCGTTTGTAAGTAGGGATCTGATGTAAGTC